CCCCCAGCCCCGTGACCAAAGGAGTGCTGCAAAATGGCGTGCTGGCCAACAATATCAGATGAGTGGGGGGGAGCCTGCTGATCTTGTTGAAGCAGTGTGGTAGTTACACTAGGGAGGAAGGGAGGGATGTGTTGTGCAAGGTTGGCTGCCCAGGAGAGACTGCTGTTATAACTAGCTTGCAGCAGAAGGACTGAGAAACAACATCTTGTGTGATAGAGGACAGCACTCTGAAAACCCTAGAGACGCTTATTCCCAGTGAGAACAAAATGCCTGAAAAAACCCCAATTAATTCCCTAAGAAAATACGGCCTTTTATGTCTGTGGAGAGTTCCTGTAACGTAGGTGTGTCCTGAGGATAATTTCTCTCCGATAGAAGAGAGAAGCTGTAACAACAAGTGTTTTTCCTTCCATATGAGAATGGCAGTTTATGTGCACATAATAAAAATAAGTGAAGTCCTTTCAGGACTTTTCCTTTCAGGAGTGACCTGAAGAGTTCTGTGGTCATTCTTTTAAGGTAAAAGCAGTCTGAGTTGCTAACTGAAAACCCCGTAGCCTTGCGGGGTGTCAGAGAACTGTTAAAAGTCTGTCCAGTTTTTTCTTATATAGGTTTTTGGATTTGGAGAAGTCTAAACTCTACAGTTTAACATAATAGATTTCCTTTAATATGCGTGGGAGAGTTTGAAACGCTTAACGTTCCCAGCTTTAACATAACGCAGCTAAAAATTAAGTAGTGTTAGTAGATACAAAAAAAATGCAATTAGCAACAGAAAATAATATTTCACTTAACTTAAAGCAGTTTCTATATACAGTAGGTGTGTTACCCTGTAAGATTTTAAGTTTGTGTTAGTTAGAAGAGAGATTTTTTGTCATTACACTTGTAGTCCAGACCACTTGGAAGACAGTAGATAAGAAGCTTTACTTTGTAGTCACAGGACCATTGACTGTCAATCATTTATATAATGTTCGTGTAGTAACAAAGTTAGTGCCTTAAATAGAAAGCTGTTACCAAGAATGCTGGGGCTCTGTCTTGCTAAGTTTAGCAGGTGTAAGAGCAGGGATCTGCTTCCCAGCCAGCTTTTCATAATCTTAGGCATTGTTTCCTGTAGTACAACCTGAACATTGTAAACCAATGGTTTCCTAAAGCAGTATATAATTAAGAAATTCTCTTTTGCCATGTATTGCTTCACAATATTCATTGCTCTTTAGGGTGGTTGTGTTGCACTCAAAGGGATGTACGCTTTTCTAACCAACCCTAGCACCACTCCCCCCTTTATTTCAACTGTGGCAGAGGTTAAAGCACTTCACCTTCAGGTTTGAAACAAGACATGTACATGTAGAAGTCTGTGGCTGGTTTTATGTAGTTCAGCTCTCGGGCTAATGCCGCATCTAGCTAGTCTAGGTTAACTCACTGCAGCAGAAACAGTGAAGCCTGTTACGCATTCATGCTGCAGAATTGAAGTCATATGCAGCATCGCTAGCCAGCACCTTGTTGTGGAGTGTTTCACATGCACAAAAGTACCAGCTTGCTAAATAAGATTTTAATCTGGTTGCTTTTTGTAAAACTTCTCTGTCTTGGGGATGGGAGAAAGTTGTAAAATAATTTTGCATAAACTCCTGTCAAATGTACAGGGATATTCCCTGCCTAACTAAAAAAAACATGCAATGCTGGAAGAGAGCAGAAACACTAATGCACTTGTAAGCCCACTTTAATCGTGCTATAGAAAACTGGGCTCTGAAAATGAGCACACTTTAAAATGTGGCTGGTCCTACATAGGTGATATTGTCAAGAGCTTCAATTAAGTTCGTTTTACGATGCTTGTTAAAGTACCAGTCTTATTCCAGTAGTTGTACCCACTACTGGTCATTGATTAGTCATTATTCAAGACGACTTTACCTGTAAGACATAAGTCCATATTCATTCACATTTAAGAGGTATTTCCCGTAACACTGAAAACCACATATGTATTTCTACTTTCTCGCTTGCACGCACTCAACTTACAAAATTATCTGAGTACAAAATTTAAAATTTTAAGGAATTAAGAATTGATAAATTTCTTCAAAATGCATAAAAATAACCTTTGAAAACAGATGTCCCAAAAGACTAGACACTCACTTTGGACAATAACCTTTTTTTCTTGTGCCCTGTGTTCTTAAATTTTTTAGAGTTCCTCGTGATTACGCGTCATAAAGTGTTAGAACTTCCCTCCATCTAGCAGTGCTTCGTTGCTAATCCCTACAGAGCAATATGCAACTCGAACATAAAATGAATGCACTTCCTGGGGGTTGGGGAGCAACCAAATTATTTAGCATATTGAAATCTCTTTTTGCATTTGAGCATTCTTAAGTTGTTAGTTAGTTAGTGTTTTAATTAAAGTCACACCTCATTAAGTGTTTACTATGCTGCTGTCTAAACCCATTAGAAGTCATTGTTTTTATGTAAATGTATTCCACCTATTTGTAGTTATAATGTGCACAGATAATTGTTAGTAATTCTGTGAAATTTCAACTCTGTGGTTTGTATTCAAAATATGTTTTTGATTTTTGATTTTGTAGGGCCATGAGCCAAAGGAGCCGGAGCAGCTGAGAAAGCTGTTCATTGGAGGTCTGAGCTTTGAAACAACAGATGATAGCTTGAGAGAGCACTTTGAAAAATGGGGCACACTCACGGACTGTGTGGTAAAGTGTCAAATATTAGTTTGTGCTTTTGAAAGGATATAGGTATTTAATCTAGTACAGAAATGCAGAATACCCCCTTCGTTTTTGCAGGTGATGAGAGACCCACAAACAAAACGTTCCAGAGGCTTTGGCTTTGTGACTTACTCTTGTGTGGAGGAGGTGGATGCTGCCATGAGTGCTCGACCGCATAAGGTTGACGGACGCGTGGTTGAACCAAAGAGAGCAGTTTCGAGGGAGGTAAGTTAGTGTTTCAGTTAACCTTATTTCCTAATCTTTACCTAATAATTTAAAATGCTGAATGTAATTTTTGGCATTGTAGGATTCTGTAAAGCCTGGGGCACATCTCACAGTAAAGAAAATATTTGTTGGTGGAATTAAAGAAGATACAGAAGAATATAATTTAAGGGAGTACTTTGAAAAATACGGCAAGATTGAAACCATAGAAGTCATGGAAGACAGGCAAAGCGGAAAGAAAAGAGGCTTCGCTTTTGTAACTTTTGATGATCATGATACAGTTGATAAAATTGTTGGTATGTAACTCTTTAGTGAGAAATTACTTACGGGATAGAAGTGTAACATGAGATTTCAGAACAGCAGCGTGTGGAATGTAAGATGTTGGCGTAATCAACTGCTTGCCTATTGTAAGAGATGGGGTGGATTTAGTGTTCCTTTTAAAAGTGGGGTTATGCCTTACAGTAGCTTTCTATGAGAGTTTTACAGCATATTGCTTTCAATGATTTGATTTTCTAACTCTTTCCTATTTTACAATTTTCTCTAGTTCAGAAATATCATACTATAAATGGACATAACTGTGAAGTGAAAAAAGCACTCTCAAAACAAGAGATGCAGACTGCTAGCTCTCAGAGAGGTGAGCTTGGAGTTGTGCATGGTTATTTTATGTGACTGGTTTTCAATTAATGTAATTTAAGTAAAATATTTTGTAGGTCGTGGGGGTGGCTCAGGCAACTTCATGGGTCGTGGAAACTTCGGAGGCGGTGGAGGGAACTTTGGCCGAGGAGGAAACTTTGGTGGAAGAGGTAGGTGTCTGGAATGTTTATATAGAATGTGATTTCTGTTTTTTTATTTCCTGTAGCAGTTGGCTTAAGCACTTAACACGTGTTCAGGAAAACATTCTCATCTGTTTTGTATTCCAGGAGGCTATGGGGGTGGTGGTGGCGGTGGTGGGAGCAGAGGAAGCTTTGGGGGTGGTGACGGATACAATGGATTTGGTGATGGTAAGTGTGTAGTTCACTTCCCTCCTCCCCTCCCCCCCCAACGTTATAACCAGCTGTAAGTCTTGCCTTACCTTGGAAAACCAAGTCTGCTTTGGTGATAACGTTTTCTACATTGTAGAGCTGTGAAGAGTTAAAGGTTTTTTGTTTTCCCCACAAAATGATGGTTGGAAAAAAAATACTCCTCTGTATTTACCCTTTAAATAACCTCATGTCATGAGGTCAGACAGCAGCTGTTTATGATTATTGAGAGTTAAATGAAGATTCTGGTGTCAGTTGAGATGACTAAAACTGAATAAAGCAGTGACCAGCTAACATACCAGAAATCTTTTCAATCAACTGCAGGACTTTTCATGGCTCAGTAGTGTCTTTTTCGTGATGAAGTTTGAATGAGTATCCAAAATGCATCTAAAGAGAACTGTGGAAATTGCCAAATGGCTGTGAAAGTAGCATTTTTGGGGGGAAGGGGGGAAGATGAGGAAAGTAGCATGTAGTTATTTATGTCCTTATTCTATAAGCAGATATACGTAGTGATGTTGAGTTCTTTGGAACTATTTCCCAGTTGGAACTACTACATCAAAATGTCAGAGACCAGATCAGCATCTGGAATACTAAGTCTTTCAGATATGCTTTATGTGATTAGAAAAAAAGAATGTTCCATAGCTTTGACACACATGTAAATAAAGCTGTACGTCTAGATAAAAACTGTAAACGAGAATTCTTTAGAGCGCTTTGCCTACTGAGTCATCTCAGTTCAGGGGAATAAAGAGGATGATACACAGCACTGACAAAGCCGTTTGTGTAAAGAGGCAGTTATTACATGTAATGGGTGGTGGTGGTGGTAGCAGCAAGCTTATGTCTTTTTGTGAGCCAGAATGAACTTCTAAGTATCATGCTTCAAGGGTATACATAAACTAATGGGTTTGTTTTTCGTTTGGACTAAATAGTTGAGATAAATTTTGCAACCACGATGAATATAATACAGGGAAAACATTGTGGGACATTTTTATTGTGTGTTTTGTTGTTTTTTTTTTTTTTTTGTTAAATGGATCTATTCTTACCAATATTTAGCTTTGGTGGGTTTAGTTTGACTCTTGTCTTGTTCAAAGGTGGCAACTATGGAGGTGGTCCTGGCTATGGCAGCAGAGGAGGTTATGGTGGTGGTGGAGGACCAGGATATGGAAACCCAGGTGGTGGATATGGAGGTGGAGGAGGAGGATATGATGGCTACAATGAAGGAGGAAATTTTGGTGGTGGTAAGATGCCAGCTTTAATTAGACATCTGTTTTTTTTAGGCAGGTCTGAGTTGTACAGTACCTGAAGTATGATACTGCATAAAATGAGTTGTACAATTAGGTCTTAATGCAGAATGGTATGTTACATAAGGAAAGTTCTTTTCCCTCTGGATCAGCTTTATACACTATACAACATTGTTTTGCCTGGAATTTACTTTTCAAAAAGGAGCAGCTCTAAGTCTGTGTGTGGAGGTGGAGTAGGAGAATTTTTAAACTTCTGACCATTTGAAGTATGCTGTTGCTGTCAGATACCAGTTCACATCATGTAGATCACGTCCTCCTTGGTGAGGATTGTACATCTAAGTTTCTATAAGCTTTTTTATTGTTTGCCTGTGAAATGAGCTTCTCCAGTTATTTTTATAAAAGCAGTTCTTTTGCCAATTACACATTCTAATTAGACTAACTGGAAGTCGCATAATTATAATACTGTTTTACAGCCTTAACTGGTGTAAACCCTTGATGAGTATATTTAAAATCTATGTTAATATCTAACCAAAATACATCTAGCCATGTCCTGTTGTATGATCAGTTTAGCTGTGTTCTACGTTGTCAGTATTAAATTCTCTGCAGGGATTTCTGAACAATAAGGTTCATTTTTAAATCTGGGGTAGCTTCTATGGAGGCCTTTAATGATAGACAGGATGTTTCTGGCAAGGGTATCTCTCAAATACAAAAACAGCTTAGGTGCTTTACTAGGATTGTTGGTGAAGGAACAGTAAGAACTTGCAAGGACTAGTGCAGATTTGGGGAGTTAAGCTGCAAAATCTGCTGCATACTTTATTATATCCTCTTATGTGTATATGCAGCATGCTCGTTACAGTTCTATCACTTTTTAGAGCAAATAAATTGTATGTAGTTTATATTATCGTCATACATACAAAGCTTTGGGTAGTAGAAGAATGACGGTGAAACTCATGTGCTCTTCTGAGTTTGGAGGCCTTGAATTTGGCCTGTTTTGTTAACTTCAAATTGCCTACTCACACCTGTATAAATTTTCTTACGTAGCATGATGCGTTTCATCTTCAACGAAATAACAGTTTTTAATCTTCAAAATGCTAATGGTCTTCTGTCATTTGTGCATTGTGAGTAGAGGTAGCATGCAAAGCGCTTGCAATTCTATTTTAAATTGTTTTAAACAGTTACAATTTACATTTACATTGGATGTCGTAATTGGGCAAGCTTCATGTCCTAAGTGTTGAACAAAAGTGGCTTTATAAATTTGCATTTGTTTCAGGTAATTATGGTGGAAGTGGAAACTACAATGATTTTGGCAATTACAGCGGACAACAGCAGTCCAACTATGGTCCCATGAAAGGTGGTGGCAGCTTTGGTGGCAGAAGTTCAGGCAGTCCCTATGGTGGTAAATATAGTTTTGTACAGAAAATATTTTTTTGGTTTAAAATTTCTTGTTATTCTTGTATATCAATATACACCCTATTTTTTGTAGGTGGTTATGGATCTGGAAGTGGAAGTGGGGGCTATGGTGGTAGAAGATTCTAAAAATGCTACCAGAAAAAGGGTAGGTGTAATGCATATTTATAATGATGATTAATAATGTACAACTGTTCACTGAGAGTAATAATTTTCTTATCCTGTATTCAACAGGCTACAGTTCTTAGCAGGAGAGAGAGCGAGGAGTTGTCAGGAAAGCTGCAGGTTACTTTGAGACAGTCGTCCCAAATGCATTAGAGGAACTGTAAAATCTGCCACAGGAGGAACGATGATCCATAGTCAGAAAAGTTACTGCAGCTTAAACAGGAAACCCTTCTTGTTCAGGACTGTCATAGCCACAGTTTGCAAAAAGTGCAGCTATTGATTAATGCAATGTAGTGTCGATTAGATGTACATTCCTGAGGTCTTTATCTGTTGTAGCTTTGTCTTTCTTTTTTCTTTTTATTTTCCCATTACATCAGGTATATTGCCCTGTAAATTGTGGTAGTGGTACCAGGAATAAACAAATTAAGGAATTTTTAACTTTTCAATATTTGTGTAGTTCAGTTTTTCCACATTTAGTACAGAGAACTCTATAACAGAAATAAAATGTAGTTTAGGGTGTTTCCTTGTTAGTTAATAGAGAGGATTAATGCATTTCTCAATTACTATTTTGTATTAATTTAAAGTTAACAATAGAAACACCTATTGATTTGCAGTCTTAAGAGGTCTAGTCTCAGTGTATATATGTAACTGTCATTGACATGAGTTACATAGGCATACAGAGGGAAAACATCTGTATGTTGCATTATAGTTTGTTTAGATGTATAACTAGGATTGAGTTACTCAAATTAGTGTTTGTGAATTATAGAACTAAGCTTTACCTTAATGAAAATCTCAAATTACTTTTTGGTTTGTGCATATTTTTTTAATTTGTAGTTCTGTATTAGTACTAGCGCTTCAAGAAAATAAGGCATGATAAATATTTTAACAAGACCAACTTTAGACACATTAACGCTGTCTCCCGTCTCATTTGAGATGTATAAGGGATAACTGCAGTTGCTTAAGTCTTGGGTGAAGAGAAAAAGAAACTTGCTTTTTACCTTTATATTTATTGTAATTCCCGAGAAGTTAAGGTGGGGGGAATCAAGTGCCTGTTTCCTTGGGATATACAATGATTCTGTTTCAATAAAACTATACTTTGGGGAGGGTGGCTTGGAATTTTCATCCCCTTCCTTTGTCCCCGTTTCCCTCTCCCTCACACCAGACTGCGCTGTTTCAATCAAATGAGGCGTCATAGTGAGAGTAATAGGTATGTTCCTCAATAACTTAATGGCTATATACTTTCTTGCATGCACCCTAGGCAATTTTCTGGACACATTCTTCTGACTGGGAGCCAAGGGTAGCACAGGTGTAATCACTGACAGTCCCAGGTAATGCGTTCCAAAAGCCCGTCCACGATGGGCTCTAAGTAGTATAGTTTTCAAGCTTTTTCCCTTGTGAATGTCTACGCTCAGCTAAGAGCTCAAAGAGAAAACAAAACATGATCTAGTTGTATTTTACTGACTAGAAACACTTCCCACAATGTAGAATGGTACAGTCTTGAGTTTCCACAGATAGAATGATAGTGTGTTACAATTTGATTTGATGCACTGGAGTAGCAAATCTTATCAGCACATATGGCTAGAAATTGTACTTAATTCTCACTTCTGACCTCCAAATTAAGGCACTGCAGTCTGTCCTTTTCTCAGCTGATGTGAATTCTCTCTCGACTATTGCCAGGACAGTGCTTTCTGTCAATTCAGACTCAGAAGAGTAGGGACCCAGTCAATAGAAGACATACTCAGACACTTGACAATATGGTATTGGAATTATTCACACCTGTTTCACTTCTGGGTCAATGTGCAGTATAAGGTAAATGCCATTCCAGTGTAGGAATGAATCTGCAAAGATGTATGAAATGGCTCAAGGCATAATCAGTCATATTAATAATGAATTATAATTTTAAGAAGTAGTAGAAAAATGAGTGTGTTGTTTGAAAAAAAAAATTAAACAATGTTATTTAAACACTGTTATTGGAGTGTATTTAGACTGCAGTACACTAAAACAAGGAACCGGTGTCAAGATGGTAGCCTCCAAACTGGATTTCAAAGTCTGCTTATTCTTTTCTGTGGAGTTTTAACATATCTCTAAAGTTAAAGCAAGAATTGGTGATTAGTGAACGCTTCTGTTGTTGTACATATTAATTTGGGCTTGGGGGGGGGAGGCTGTATTTCAATAAAGGCTTTTTTTAAACAACCCATTTGGAGTTTGAAAACATTGAAAACTAAACCACAACTCACTAGGGAGTGAGCCACCTAACTACCGAATTGCTTTGTACGTTACTACGCCTAGAAGATGTGTAGACTTGTACCTGGGGCCTGCATCTGATTGCAGGGACAACTGGAGGATGGGGTTGATGTCCCTTCTGACAATTGATCTGGTATTTCTAAATTTTTTTTAGAATGTATTGACAGTGTTCTTTTTAACAGGGCCTCTTGTAGCTGTACTGTGACAACAATGTTAACTTTGAAAAATAGTGTCATAATAAACTTTATGAACAAGATCTGTATGCAACCTTTTAAGAGATGGATGTAAGTGACCGCTTTGTAGGTGGGTGGGGTAGCTTAGCTGTTGTTTGTGATGTGGAAAAGTGTAAGGACAGTGATTAACCAGCTTTAAAGAACCTAGGATGTACTTCTTTGATCCATACTTTGCTAAGGAGACTCATAAGACAGGACTTCAGCAGCCTATTGAGTATGGAGAAGTCAGCATAATTAAAGAATGACAAGGCAGCAGGAGCAACAGCTTCAACTTCCAGAAAAGTGAAGGCATAAGATACTGTGCTGATAGTGAGCAGCTTTCCAAAGGCTAGTTAAATCTGCTTATCACAGCTGAAATATCGAAGAAAGTCTAGCAAGAGTTCTTCACCTTTTGGAACCTCCTTGAGTGATAGCTACTTGAGTTGACTCAAAATCAATAGGTCTAGCATTTAGACCTGAAAGGAAGGGCAATGAGCATAGGTAAGGTTTGCCTTTAAAATTTTTCATGAATTAAAAAGAGTAGTGGGAGGTTTTTAAACAAGGTAAGAGTAATTTCTTTGATTTTCAGGTTGAATGAGAAGCTGCTGCTTGACAAAATGGGGAATGTCTTGCACATCCTCTTCAATTGAAGGTTTCTGACTGGGTAAGATTTGTAGCGTATAGTAAAACACTTGTTTAACCCTTATTTCCTTCTAGGCTTTCCTTTGCCAGCCCTTTAATATCAAGGAAAGCCTTAAGTATTCCGAAAGAGCAAGTATTCTGGCACATGTCATCCAGTGTTTCCTGTTCTGGATGGGGGTTGCTTGCTGGCATAATTGCTATTCAAGAATCTTCTGTTCCTGGCAGGTACAAAATCGGTGTGTGTCTGAGATAAACAAGACAGAAATGATAAATGTTTTGAAATATGTGCTCCAGTTGCTGTGGGGAGTGTACTGTGGGGGTTTTGAGAAATTGTTCGTTACCTTGTAACAGAAAGAGACGCCTTACAGAAACCCAGAGACGTGAAGACCCTGAAGCGGTTCATCACAATTCTCAGTAGTGCGTGATATGCTGCTGCTGCAGTAGTTCTGTAAAGGCACTTTGCATTGGTTAGAGCAGTGATTTCCCTCCTAATACATTCATCTTGGCTTACCAGGTGGGTTTGTATTTACCAGCACAAATCAAGAGACTTCCCTTTCAGATTTTTGGTGCTTTCAGGCAGGGTAGTTTAGTGGAGGCTAATACTGTCAGGTGACACCCACCTGAAAGCACAACTGCGTTTATACAGATGAATGGCAATAAAAGAACTTTCCATGGAATCTGCTTTTTTGCACATTGGTTCTTAACTCTTGGAACATGTATTTCCTTTTCTGCATCTTCAATTGTTGCAGGTCTGGGATATTTTTAACTCTTTTTATATAGTAGTCTAGTACCTACTTACACTTGCCAATACATTTTTGAGTCTGTGCGTTATTTTTAAGTCAGTTTCTATTTTAGTGTTACTCAGAAAATAAAGGCAAATGGAACCTGCGCATTTCAGTTGAACCCGGGGCTTAGGCATGTTCACAGACTGATTCAAGTAGTTAAACTTGTTACCTGCTGTCTGTAAACATCCAGAAAGCAAACTCTTGCCATTGTAATGTACAATTAAAAGTTAACTTGGAAGTTGCAACAGTAACATTGAGATTTTCATATAATCAGGAGCTGCTTAATGGAAATCTCACAATGACCGTGTATGTTTTTAAAAAAGACCGACAAACGTTTTGGTTAGTCAAGGTTGAGCCAAAATTTAAAACTGTGGCAGTAAGGTCACGGTCTCTCCTTAGTGTAGTATGCTAGACAGCTTGTTGCTGAGGTGACAAGCTTGCTTTCCTACACCTAGAGGTGGAAAACCTTTGGTTTTCCTCAGCTAGGCAGAGTTGCTCTTGTGAGCTCACCTAGGCATCTGTGTGGAGCAACAGGTAACGGGGAAAAGCGTTAGTGTGCCTTATGACTACTCGGTTGAGGGCAGATGCTTTTGTACTTGGAGGGAGGGGGAATGTTACAATTTTTTAACAGTAAAATCTTGAAAATGTTTTAATAACAGTAAGTTTTAACAAAAGCTCTTTCTAGTTTGCATCTCATTACTAGGCCTGTGTATAGAGCAAAGCTCTGCCTTTCCTTAACATTAGAGGATTCTACATTGCTGCAGGCTTGTCCTGTGCTCTGGAGGGGTCTTTTTGCACCAGGTATAGAACTAGATATTCACTGTTAGAATTATTTTCACACTTGGATGTATAACACTCTTGTTAGACTACTTTGCTTAGTTTCAATTATTCGTACCCCAGTTTGTTCAGAAATAAACCTTGTCAAAGCTAAACATGTCCTTAAGGAGTACTTCGTCAAGTGTATCTTTGTCCAAGAGGCACTTCCAAGAGTTAAGAATATTGTTTCATGACTAGGTTTTTCGATAGTTGGCTGCTATTGAAAATAGCAGCTGTAAATGTAGATGGAGGTGTGAAGATGTAAAGTTAACGAAGCATTGGTCCCTAAGCTGTAGTTCTACAGAAGTTTGTTTGATACCTAAACCTGTGTGTTAATCTAAAAGCAAATGGTACCTCCAGGCAGTAAAAACGTATTTCCCCAAAAGGGGCTCAGGTTGCTGCAGATGTGATAAGTATTTTGTTATTAAAGAACAGTGAAATTAAGCACAGCATCTTAACTTTTATATCCTTTAAATATTTAAGGCGGGAAGGGGAATGCTCCTAGTCTCTCAAGCATTGATTGTGTGATGTACTGACTTGCTGTCTTTGGTCCCTGTGTTTAAGACATTAACATGTTTTCATATAGTCTACACTGTGGTGAAATACTCACTTACGTACCAGTCTGTGGTCTCTGACAAGTATTTGTATCTTAAATTGTGTGGAGCATGAAAGATCTCGAGTATCACTAAAGTTCGGATATCTGATGGATGATTCTTTTTCTGCTGTGGGTGCTACAGGTTGACATCTCTATCTAAGATTAGCTTTTTCCTGAACTAAAGTAATCCAAGTATCTCCGTAGAAGAAAAATGGCCTTCATGTAGAAGATAATATCGCAAGATTGGAAACAGAATAATATGTTAAAACTGGCAAAGACTGCAAGAGCAATGGTGCTAGTGTGCTGAAATCTTAGAACTTGTGGTTAAACAAGTTTAAAAATAGCATGGAAATTTAAAATTTCAGTATAGTCCATAATGGATTGAAATTTGTTAAAATATTTCAATTTTGTATCAGAATAAAGTGTATGTTGTCAAATGACTTACAATCTAAAATGCGTTGCCATCACTTTTTTTTAGTGCTGTAAGGAACACAAAGCGGTCTTAAATTATTGCAACACATTTTGTTACAGGATCATCTTTCCAACTCGGGACAGCAAGTCAGAAAACCTTGGTTCAGCTCAGCTCCTCAGCTTTACTTTTAATAGTTTTAAAACTGAATGTTTTGGTCAAGAAATAAATGGTCTCCACGGGGAGACTTGTCAGTGTATGAGGTCAACATTGTGTGATGCATTAGACTTGTCGATGTCACTAGTCACTCTCAGGTTTGGGAACATACTCTGTACCCCAGCAATAATAATAAAATGAAGGATGTAGTTTGCAATCTGATGTCTTCGCATATACCAAAATAATCTAATGTGAATATTTTTTTTCCTTAATGATGCGTTGGGTGTTTCGATGCGAGTACAATGTTCACTGTGTTCATGATACGAAAAATGCTGGTTTAAACTGAAGGCAAGTTGTCGTGGTCCGAGTTACTTCAGACTGATTCTTTGCCTGGTGGAATTCAAACAAGGCTTCTGTATCAGCTGCAGGTTTTTTGTTGTTGCTCTTTTCATCCTGGTAATGGAAGGAGGTATCCCTGTATTAGGTTTTAGACATGTGGGTGGCATGAATACAATGGCCCCTGCAAAGGCTGTAAGGATGTTGTTTGCATTAGTGCTAAAATAAGGAACAAATTGAAGTGGAGGGCAGGGGTTTACTGAGGTCTCTGTTTCATAGCCAATTTGTCATTAAAGTATTTATATTACAGCTAGAGAGAACATTTTCTCTGTAAGTCAGACATTTGATAGCCTAGTTAATGGCGGGGGGAACCCAGGAGCTCTTCCTCTTTAGGTTCTCTGTGCTTTGCCATCAGACCTACCTGTGTATTAGAGCCACTGCGTATCAGTGTGGAAAGACTGTCAGGGCCATAGCTCGGTGTGCTTCCTCCTTAATGCTTATGCTCTAAAATTGCCATCCTTAAATACGGATTAGATCCTCTTCCTTTAAATGGCAGTGGTGTCCCACATTCCCCTGGTGTTCACGAAACTTGGCGATTGTTAGAGGTGTTTTCCTTCCTAGGCAGTGCTGGTGGCAAAGTCAATAGAGGCACGTTGGAACAACAGCAGCAAGAAAAATATCCCTGACTGCTGCAGTATCTTTGATTTAGTTTAGCTGGTGCTTGGCTGCCCTGTCTAGAGCAAATAAACCTGCTTCGTCCATCAAATCCAGCCTCTAGGTTTTCAACCATCGGTATTGACCATTTGCTCCAAAAAGAGGAGTGCTCTTACATTCAGCATATGTCAAGTACTGTGGGACGGACTGATGGGCTGTTAACAAGGAAGAAGGTCAGTATAAACAAGGTAAGCAGCCTCAAAGCATAAGTTGGGTCTTCTGCAAAAACACAAATGTTACTACTTGATGTAATGGACAGGTTCCTAGTGCTTCTGGGGATGTTGGAAATCTGAGGCTACAGGTTTTTTCACGACTTCGCTGTATCTGCTGCCTCAGAAGCAGATGTTTTGTGGGGCGGGACCTCACTCGAAAGTTTGCAGCAAGTAACACAGCATGAGAAGTTGTGTGAAACTTAATTTTCTCTTAAGGTAGGCAGGACTGGAACAGCTGGCAGTCCCAGCTTTAGGTACAAAGACTTTCTTTGGGTACGGGCACTTGGCCATTACACCTACCTTTTAAAGAGGATGTAGTCAATAGGATCATGGTTCCCAGCATTCCGCTGCCCTGGAGCAAAGCTACCTTCTTGGTGAAGCTGTTGTCACTGCTCTGCTTTCCTCCCCCTGCTCTTCTCTGGTTAGCTGAGGCTGCGCTGCAGATGAAGTGTGAGAGCGAGCAAGCGAGCGTCTGTGTTCGCACCAGGTACCAGAGAGGCCTCTGCTATTCAGAATCGGTAAATGAGTTAACAGGAAGGTGAATGATAAGATGACAAAGATTGGAAATAAAAAATTATTTGGGGTAATAAAAACAAAAGCTGATTGCAAGGAGTTACACTGATACCACTGTGACCAGCTGGACAATAAAATAGCATCTGAAAACCAACACTGGTACCTACATAATTGTAGGCCCCAAACTAGTTAGTGCTATTCAGTGAGAGGGCTTGGGGTCACTGGAGTTGTATGAAAGCAGCAAACAGCACACAACAGTTGAAAACAGGAGACCTTCCACAGCATCCTGTGGCAGAATGATATTCATCGCAACCATAGCGTTATGTACTTCCTCTTTGTGCCTTTTTTTTTTTTTTGAGGACACTCAGAAGGTCTATAAAAAGTGAGATAGTATGGAATTGGGATTATGATAATCTAAAATTGTTCCTTTGGCTTTCACGGCCAGCCATGAGAGGAGATGCTTTCTGCTGGATATGCAATTCCAGCACAGTTAAAATGTTTGGGAGATAAAAATCTCAAGATTGAATTCACCAATGGCTGTATCATTTTATTTAGCATTACCCTAACTTTGTGAATAATGACCTAATGGAAGGCTGGTTTCCTAATCTGATGTCCCTCTTTAAATCCTTTTTCCTACAACATCATTAAACAATCTTTGTGTGTCCTACTCTACCCTTCTTCAGTATCTCCTGTTCCTTCTTTTAAAAAAAATTACCAAAGGTCTTACAAAAGAACTTGGTGTTTATTATACTAACTGAAGTTATGAATAATGTTGTAATAAACAAAATATTCCTAAAATGTTATAGAGCATCAGTGGCAGAAAACCCATTTCAGATTAAGTGTGCCTTTTAGAAGTTTCTTAGAGAAGATAAAGGAAGATGATACGGTTTTTAATGTTCAGATCAATATGTGTGTTTCAAATTATGCATTTTCTGTATTCAAAAAATCCACAAGGATCAAGTACAATGAGCCCCTTTGAAGAGTAAAACGAGTCCATTTGAAGAGTAAACAAACCAATGCTATTTATTTGCCCAATTTTTATTCTCTTATCAATCATAATTTAAATTCCACAATGCTTTTCAATTAATTGAGCACAAGTCCCAAACAGCGCAGTTGGTAGGCAGTTAGATGCCTTTTTCCATAAGCTCCAAAGTAACAGCAGTGACAAATGATGCTTGCTGATCAGCATCAGAGACAGATAGTGTATTTCTAGAACAATTACTCAAAAGTACACAGAATTTTTAGTTGGAAAAATGCATAATGCTGACAATGTCTTAATTAAGAGATTTTAAATGCCTTTGGAGGAAAGATCTCATGAATTTAAGTAGTGTTCAAAGAGCAAAACAAAAATTATGTAAACTTAGCATAGACTTGAAATGTAACTTTGTGTTACACAATCCTTCCCAACAGCAGTTAAAATTATGCTGAAAGAAGCATTAGTAATGCTGACAATGCTGTGCGATACATTTCTGGTTATTAAGCATATTTGTTACATGAAGACTTAGCCTTGGAAAACTAGTGAGGATTTCCCTTCTTCAGAGAAATAAATGTGTATGGAATTAAAAAAAAGTTTAATGAACTGATAAATTGAAATCAAACACTAAGTATCAACTTCTATACTAAATGAAAATCATATATTAAATATAAAGCAAGTATAAATGTGTAAGAAAAACAGGAAACAAACACTATTGCATATTTATAAAAAAAGTATCAGAAGCCATACTGTTTGTCTTGCAAGAAATTATATTTAGAAGGCTAAAATCATTTTTATATATATCAAATAAATCTATGCATATAACAAGAGATAGGAACAGTATATAAATATGGTATCTTTAAATATTTACATGTATATGGAAACTAGTCAAAGTGGTGCTATAAGAGGGAAATGTCTGTTATAAAAGTAAGATTACAAATTTTGCATAATCCATCTGCATTACGCTATTAGTTTTAAACTTGCATCTTCCATAAACTAATTCTTAACTTTAAGGTTATCATTGCATAGAATTACTTGAAAAATATTACCCAATTCTGCATTCCACCTCACAGTAAAAACTATCAGGATAATGATATAAAAATAACAACTCAGAGAACAGTAGCCAGCTGTGCTGCCCTTCAAATTTTAGTCTCTGACTTCTTGCTTTTAGGAACAAGAAAGACATTGCCGTCTCTAGTTTGCTGCAGTGAATATTCACTAGGAGAGTAAGACTTTCCATCTTCATCACGTAGCATGCTGAAGACCTCAAGGTATAAGGTGGTTAGTTGCTTTTTCATTTGACGAAGGCTTTTGTCATGCTCTCCTTTTTCCTTAAGCAATTTCTCTTTCTCATCTTTTAGGTTACTCAAGTCTTGCTCCAGTTCCACTATATTTTCCAGTTTTCTTTTACGGCAATTTTGAGCAGCCACTTTGTTCTTGCCTCTCCTGCGTATATCTCGAATAAGCGCAAGCTGGGCTTCATTGAACTGCTCCTTAGACATCATTTCATTGAAGTCATCAACGGGGAGATTGATGATTTTTTCAACAGGAAAAGGGATCTGCAGAGCTTTTGCTCTTTGCTCATCTCTTGTGAGATGAGCTTCAAGGTGGCCTGAAGGTTTATCTTTTGTGAACGGAGCTTTGGGGTGGCCTGGACCGGCAGGGGGTTCTTTCTTTGGTGTGTTTGTACACTGCAAACTAGGTGTTTGAGTGCTGGGCCCCACAGAAGAAAACACTTGATCCTGGAACTGCAAAGAGTACACGCTAGCATTGCTCTGCGGCACACTTCCAGGAGCACTATCCATGTCTTCCATTTCAGAATCGCTACAACCAAAAGTCTTATCTCCATAGGCAGATGATTCAACAGAGTGTTCGGGCGATGCTACGCTAGAACTTGCATTCAATGAAATACCAGAGTCAGAATCATTACATTCCGGTACGGTTCCTGAGTGGTTGCCATTAAAAGCTTTACACAGTGAGAAATCAGAAAGATCAATAGGTTCACTTAGAATTTCCGTGAGTGATTGACTGATAGCGTTTGTCGTTGCTGTATCACCGTTTGCCTTTGTATCAATAAAGGTGGTGTAGAAATCCTCACAGAAATCAGAGTTTGAAGGGGATGTGTCATTTAAAGAGTTCACACTCAGCTGGCTGGTGTCTTCTGCTGGCAAAATGCTGGAAAAGGGGCCCTCAATACTATCCAGGAAGTCTGGACCGCAGTTAACATCTTTTCTCATGATGGGTAATGAGCTGTAGTAATTATAGCTGTTGTGCATCTCTGTTGGCTTGGTGTCAGGGCTTGTGATTGTGCTTACCTCAGCCAGGTTATCATTTTCAATGTTAAGACACTACATGGGAAATGCAAGAGAGAAGTTGAGCAGCACATCTCCAATTGATAAAGCCTTCTTCTATAACGCACAAACATTAAATATTTTAGCAATCAACATGTACATAAAATGGGTATTACAACATTGCTGTAACCTAGATGACTACAACACACTTTTACTATGGAGAGGCAATCTAGGAAGAAGACTAGACACCTAAGCAAGAGTATGAAGCAACTTGTTCTGGACAAAGCTATTTAGATTAAGAGAGCAGAGCCTCTCAAACTCATGGCACGATGCTGAAGAGACCCTTTCCAGTGCTCTGTGGAAGCTGCTCGGAGCCCTCCTGTTCTGGTAAATTGCTAGTGGGGACCCTGGAGCTGCCAGGTCTGAACTTCTCACAAGCACCACTGCTAGGAATGGCATGAGTACAGTGCACCACTGCTAGGAATGGCATGAGTACAGTAAATGTAAAATTACTGAATGAGACTTGATGAGCATTACTAGCAAACAATTACTTAGCACTCTTAATTTCCTCTTAGGTGATAGATTTCTTCTCCTCAAAAAACAAGATTCTTTTAGGATTTACTGAGTGAAGCAGCTGTTCAGTGCAGAGAAATGTAATTCTTGGTGAAGTAGAAAGAGTACTAACACAACGCCTCGCAAACATTAACTCACCCCACACACTTTTAGTTAAGCTAACATCAGTGTGAGCATCGACGATTATTACACTGATGGGGTTTCATTGGCTACAAGACCAATGTTCTTTCCAACGGGGTGGCAGTTTCTTAACTGAAGCTGAAATAAGTGTGCCTGCTGTCCCCAAAGAATTAGGCAATTACCAAAATGATCCTGTTTCTCTTAAGAAGGGACCACACACTGATTATTTAACCAGAGATCGTTCAAGGCTTAAGCTAAGGTTTTAAATGTGAGGGCTCCTTTTTTTCTTTTCTTCAAACATAATTCGTAAAAGGTGATGCCCTCAATTTAATTACCTCACTTCTTTCAGAAGATTATTCAATTACTATTCAGAATGACTGCACTAGATAATTTTGGTTTGGTTTCTTAATGTATTTTCAGCATCACTGCTGCCTCTTCACAGACAATTGCCCTTGTGGGGCTTTTAAGCCTACCACAGCAGTAAAGATCAGGAAACTAGGAAAATTTTTAAAAATCTAAAAAGAGGAAGGGAAAAAATGTGGAGTGGCAGGAAAAAAGCAGTTCCTGCAAACTTTTTTTTTTTCCCCAAATATGATTTGGATTTACAGGCATTACACTGAGCATTCATCTCTTCTGTTAACAGCATAAAGTAGAGTAGCATCACGCTGAAGCATGATGACATTCTATAGTAACATATTTGAAAATAAATTTATTCAATTTTATAGTCAAGTCTAAGGAAAATATAAATAGAAACATAAGGATAGGAGAAAAAAGCCCCTAGATGTCTTCTGTAATGCACAATTTAGAAATATAGCAAAGCGATTTTTTTTTGTTCCTTTGAAATATTCCATTCATGTACATTACATAATTAGTTCTTACTGAACATATATAAACAGTAGTTATATAACTATACCTGACTCTTCTATGTATCTAAATATACGTTCTATTATCATCTTTATAAAACCTTTTCCTTAGACAAAAGTTGAATGCAAAAGTAACCATAAATGATTCACACAATCAGACACTGCAAAGAAACCATTTACAATAATGCAAGAATGCTTGTGGAAACAATTCCTGTTGTAGATCCATAATTCACAAGTGTCCATTTTTAAGCAGCTGAAATTTCAATCAATCATGATCATGTGTTAACAAGTTGCATACAGAGGCAAACAATGATTTGCTAAACATGGGGAAGTTCTGATTGGGAAGATAGACTGTGCTTTATTAAGGCCTTCTGATAAACAACTAGTTTCCTTCTTCCTACATGTTTTTCAAGATACTATTTTTAAAAAATTAAAGCTTATATCGAGTTATAGACATCCTACAGTATAGAATCCAACATGATAGTCATAATCATCATCTGTTAAGATGCTATTGTACTGCATTCTCCAAAATACCATTCTTTTCCAAAATATCATGCTATTTTTTCAGGTGCCTATCATACTAAACCCTTACCTGTAACTCTGGAAGGGACAATAATTCTTCCCAAACTTGCTCTATGTTCTGCATATTCTCCGCATCAGTAAGTGGAACTAGAACAGGTGACTCAGGTGGCTGAGTTTGATCAGAGGAAATGAAGACTGGGTCGCTATCAATCTGAGCAGGAACCAGCGACTGAAATGCAGCTGAAGAAGCCTGGTGTGTTTAAAAAAAAAAAAAAAAAAAAAATTAAAAAACCCAAACAAAACAACAATAACCACATTAAAAAAAAAACCACTCAAAAAAAACAACTTTGAATTTTCCAAAGCAAAAATCTGGGTTTTGGTGTTCTACCATTTCTGCAGAACAGACAGGTATTTCTTAATAAAAGCAATTTTTGTAAACAATAGGATAATATAAAAATATTCCCATGAAAGGTGTTTTCATATTAAGGAAAGAAATAGGGGGAGAAAAAAAAATCTAGAAACTGGCTGGCGAGGGCTTATCCTTACACATCAAATAGTCTGTGTCAGCATATGGAAATAAAGCAACTCAAATGCACTAACTCCAGAGAGCTGCACGAAGCTCTCTGTAACAAACAGACGAAGTCCACTACCGTTATTTGCAGTAACGACAATGGTTGCCATCAGCTGGCGTTATGCACCAAATCCTGGCTGCAGGATTCAGTAAGCAGAAGGGACACAAGAGTATCACTCCACCCTCTCCGGGCACAGCCCTAGTTCAAGCCTACTACACTGCTTTATTCCAGCTGGAGTCAGCTAGAGGACAAAACTCAAATCATATCACAAATTAATATTATGCTGAAGACAAATCTTAGTAAGAGAAGACATGAGACTGATCCCCTAGAAGACCACTCGTGAAACCGCCGTGCTGAGCATTTTTACCTCATTGTCGTCTATAAATGGGAAAGCTTCTGCCAAGAGCTGCATGCAGTCATCAAAGGACAAGGCCTCTGCTTCTGGTTTTGAAGTCTGTGCGGTCTAAATAGGAAAGTTATGAAAAAAAAAAGTTGCTGCGTCTTTGAATAACTGAAGAATCTTCCATTACAGCAACGAATGCAAATTAATTTTAGGTAACCACTAACATTATGTCTTCCTGTGAATGGAAAAAGGTTTAAACACACTCACAAACTCGGATTAGAGTTTACCTGTGAAAAACCAATTGGTGGCTCAGTATTTTCTGACTGAATGCGCTGAGCTGGCTGAACAGGAACAAATTCACCTGTCTCTTCGTCTAACTCCAGCTGGGCCAGCAAGGCTTTCTCCTGCTCTTTCTGGAGCTGCTCTTGTCTTTCCTTTTCAAGTTTCTTCTGTTTCTCGAGTTCATACTCCTTCCGTCGTTGACTAAAATCAAAAACTTCACGCCTTGCCCCAAGGTCTATATCTTGCCTCCAAAGGATGTCAATCAAGTTCATGTCCTGTAATAGAAATGCTTTTTTTAAGCAAGCATCCTCCCCAGCAGTTTAGAACAATGGCAAAGCTTTTAATTTCTGTATTAAACAGGCAGACTCATGTAACTGAGGCTTATTCTCTTAACCCTACAAAATTATCTAAATAAAATACAGCTCTATATGACCTTTCTGAAGTGTGTGAACTGATGGTTTGGTTGCTGTGGCCTGCACACAGGCTCATAGAAACTAAGCAATTTTTACAATTGGTAAAGTAATACATGAACTAGCCAGAGGATAAATAAATTCTTCTTTCCTAAGATAGCTCATAGAAAACGTAAAGCTATAGAATGAATTATGTCACATTAAGAAAGTAATTTTTAGGAGAAAAGATCAGAAATTGAAGTTTGCCCATGTGAATTTTTTTCAGATTATCTATAAAACTGTAAAAGCTGACTAAAAACATGATGGCAGCTGTCTGAAGTAACTATAATAGCCATACTGCAAAATGTATTTTATAAGATTTATGTTCCATCCTGGTATTAGGTATTAATCTTAAAGATCAGCAGAACAGGGCTTCAGTCGGAGGACAACCTGGTTTCATAGTCACCAAGTGACATAACATCACTGTAGCACTAAACACAATTAAGACTATTACTAAAAAATTGTAATTTAAACCTTAGTCTAAGTTATGTTCTAAGTGCAGTTGGTTCAGAGCAGCTGAGTATAAACTAGAGATCAATAGGTCTCAGATTTTGTGAGTCAGTGGGCCTCTGGCTCAACACAGAGTCAATCATTATCAGACAGCTAACAATGACCTAAATTTCTTGGAAATCATCTACCCCTTGTGGCTGTAGTGTTTCAGAAGACAAGTTAAACTCTGCTATTTAGGGAAAACCAACTGGTTAATATTATTTGATTTGGCTACAATTTCTTTTAATTTATTGCATAAAGGGTTTTTTTGGGGGGAAGGGGTTAGTGGATTGTTTTGGTTTGGTTTTTTTACTGTTCAAATATTCAATATTTTTCAGGGCTGAAGTTTGGACTATTTTCTGCTTTGAAGAATACCTAACACTCAAAAATCATCAGTTTGGATGTCAGCTGATACAGAATTTTAATACTTGGTAGCCACATTTGTCAGATGGGTAAATGGCAACAATTTCTAGCTGGTGCCTGGGAGTTTTGATTTTATGGCATGTTTCATTATTCTTAAAATTACCCTTTAGCAGCAGCACACAAAAATAATGTTCAGTGTTGGGCATTCTCACCAGGCTAGCTCACTACAAATAATATACTGAACACTACGTTTCATTCAAACAGAACTTTAGTGATTCAGTTAGCAGTTCTACATCCAAGATACATTTATTTTGCTATCATATCAAATTAAAACATTCTCTTATCTCTAAAGACTATTTTCAAATAGAGAAGCAAAGTAACCTGAACGCTAAGTCATGTTGCCATTCAGAACGATCACTTCTGTACAACAGTTACTGCAAAAAGCTTTAAGGCAAGTCCACATTTGAACAAACCAATTCAGTATTCTCATTTCTTCATTAAAAATGCTATACCATTAACACTCATATTTATACATTGCACGAACTACTTCTACCACTTACTAAAAAAATTACTTTTCTCTAAAATCAGGCAGTTACGTAAAATACGTGTGTAACACAACGCAGGCATTCCCAAATCTAAGACATATTTAATACACCTTGCTGGGAGAGACCAAACTCAGCTTTAATGGCCAGCAATGAAGAAGCTGAAATAATTACAGTGGCTGCCCAAGACAATGTTTGGTCTCTCCAGATTGGCAGGGTAAAACGAACTAATTAAGTTCTGCAGTAATTGGAGATATTGCAATATGGTATAGCTTCATTAAGGGCCAGTAGTTTACCAGCTGCTCACTGTCTCCTTCTGCAGCAGATTTGAAACTGTTTCCTAGTCTCAGAGCATTTGCAATATGTTCTGGATAAAACTGCAGGATCTGGATTTTAGGGCTCACTTCTGAATTAATCATTTACAAGGCACCATTAAAAATGTGACTCAAAAGATTTTTTTCGTGTGTATAATGCACGAGGCTGTGAATTAACAGAGCTGTTTTCCTCCCTGAGTTGCAACAGACTGCAGCACAAAAATAGCAGAACTGGTGCTCAGTTTCAGTTTAAATAATGAAAAACAAAAGTGATCAAAAAAAAGAGGTACAGAAGGCATAACATGTTTTCCTTAAGAAGAAAAACCACGTAGCCTTAGTGCAAAAACGTAAGGCACAGCTATTAAATCTTTCAGCCATACGACTGGCTATATTTGTTACCAGAATTAAGTAGCTTTGGGTGCTGCCTCGTTTGTGGGATGAGAGATCTCCAAAGACACCAGCTGGCCAAAAAAAAAAAAAAAGCTGTGGCTGTACACCACCTCTGTGTGTGTGCGTGCAGCAATCAATTCAGCAAGCAGGATTATTTTTTTAATGGATATGCTTGCATGGTTTTCAGGATTTTCAGGATCTTGGGCTGTTGTTTGAGAAATATGACAGCACTGATTGGCTCCTGTCACCATTTTTCAAGGGACCATATTTAGTCCGGTATCTTATCTCTGGCAAAGGGCTGAGCTTTGCTAAACAGTGTTGTGCTTTACCCTGGAGAGAGATGCTTGTCAGGAGCACCTTTTTAAATTTTATTTAGTTGTTGTGTTTGTGGCACTTAAAACCAAGAGGGTGTTTTTTTTTTTTTAATTATCACCATATAATTGGAAAAGATACCTCCGATTTTAAATTTGAAAAGTTCTACACAAATACAGCAATAATAGCCTTAACTTCAAATAACAATTCAAGTAATTACTCTTCACATGAATGGGCTGCATGGAGGAAGTGTTCTTCTGGTCAATATGCTAATATGTAATATCATCTAAGAGCACACCGATTTAAATATTAACCTGCCATTTAACACTTATCTATAATTTCAGCCAATGCTTTTAGAAATACTGCCCTTTTCAAGAAAAAAAACCCCAAACATTCTGGGCATTAGTCCAAAGCCCCAGGTCAAAGTTAATGGAGTAAACATTGACCAGTGATTCACTAAGGAGTAAATTACAACCCCCAGCATGAGGGGATGGCAGAGAACTTAAAAAAAAAAAAGCTGACTAAAGCCAGTATTTTGCCATTTTGTTCCTTCAGCCTCCCCACAGCCTTCCTCTCTAAATTATTTCTCTGCCTTGTTGAACACTAGCATACACATATATAGAGATATCCAGACACAGGCAAGCACTCTATTTTAGGTTTATCACTGAAGCATTTTTCCCCTTCCACTGTGAAAGCATCAAAAGATAACTGTGTATTTGGTGCCTGGAGCGTTTGACTAAAACTCTTAAAAGGTATTTTACTTCTGTGCAACAGATACCCTCTAATTTTTAGATGCCTCAACATGATGTGCAGAAGATTCATTTGGAGGGACAAGCGAGCACATTCACATCCAAACTGGAGCACGTGCACCGAGAGCCCTGTGAAAGATTCATCTGACGCAGGGCTGGTTGCTGCCCTCCGGAGCCACGCTAACCACTTCCCCCGATGTCAGACGTATTTACTGTAAAGGTGCCAGCAGTCCCTCATGTGACGGAGTCCACAAGTGCCCGTTTGTTCTTTCCTCCGTTGTGCAATTTTCTGAATTGCATCAGAGGAAACGATGGTTTTGGCAGAGCCGAGAGGCGGCGCAGGAAGAGCCAGGCCTCCCTGCAGGAGGAAGGACCTGCGCCCGGCAGGGATGGCAGCCGCGATGCTTCCCCCCAGGCTAGAGCTCAGCTCTCTCCCACTGAACACCAATGCCTGTTCTGAGGGGAAATACATTACGGTATTTAATGTGTGTATTACCATTGCCCAACATTTCTGGAAAAGTAATGTGTTTTTAATATTTTTCCCAGGCAGACAAACAGTGATTTGATTTTATTTATATTTTCCTCAATTTTGTAGACAGAGAAAGAACTTCTCTCAGAGAAGGAGATGCTTTGCTTTCCCATGATCCATGTAAGCAGGAGGTGCCTCGTACTCACGCTTTGATTTTTTTTTTTGTTCATTTACTGATATGCTCTTCCAACTACATTGATAGCTTAGTTTGGACATATAAAAGCACTTTTAATAAGATAAACATAAATGTTAAACAATTCACATTAAGCCACCATCTGGCCCCCCAATGGAAATTTTCATGTTTTAGATTTACATATCAGCATTTGCCATCTGGGCAGAGTCTGTTATACATTTTATGAGAAAATCTCTGACTACATTGTAAAGTTTGACAATTAACTCTTATTGCTCCTAAGCAAACATGTTTGCAGTAGGGTAAACAAAGGCAAGAAACCCTGTTTTCATGTTATTTTCACAGACTGACTTTTGTGCTTTAAACGAAATGCTAGTCTTTTGTTTCACCCTGTTTGGTTTATCTGACTGGTTTTGGTTTTGTTTGGAATACAAACAACTTACAGGTAGCATTGGTAAAATGGAAACATCCAGTGGCCCAAGCACCAGCAGAGAAACAATCCCAGAAAGCGCTCTCAGTGCTTTCAACCCATTATCAGCTATATCCCCTTAATACAGAGCACATCTGTGGGTTTTGCACATTTACTTCTTAAGGTCATGCCTTTTGCAAAATAAGTTGGGATAGCATTAGCAGTACCTCTCACCAGACAAGGATTTGTTTTTCTTTCCCATGATCCATTAGCACCTAACTCCAAGAAGAGAGAAGATTTCACATGCCAGCATGAATAAATGAAAGAGCAACAGAATCAATAGATATTGCATCCAGCTGGGGAGCTCTGACAGGAACCCTACAAGCAGCAGGAAAACACTCCTATAGCTTATTCACAGAAAGAGAACTCGCAAAGTATCCCCCAATTCCTATTTGCTTTCCAGGAAGTGAAAGAAATGAACAAAAGCACCTTAAAGTTTTGCTGTATTCAAAAAAACATGCGGGAAGTGAGGATCAAGGACTTGAGATACTCCAAGGCAAGAATGAAAGGGAGGGGATCACGTAGTAAAGCAAGCACAAGA